GAGGCAGAGTTATGCTCTTGACACCCAGGCTGGAGTGCAATGGCATGATCTCAGCTCACTGCAACCTTCGCTTCCTGGGTTCAAGCAATTCTCCTGCCTCAACCTCTCAAGTAGTTGGGATACAGGCACCTGCCACCATGCCCAGCTAACTTTTGTATTTTTAGTAGAGATGGTGTTTCACCATGTTGATCAGGCTGGACTTGAACTCCTGAACTCAAGTGATCCACCTGCCTTGGCCTCCCAAAGTGCTGGGATTGTAGGCATGATCCACTGCGCCTGGCCTCCATGTACTTAACGATAAACTGAACTGTTTGTAATGGCTATATGTATTCTCTTCTGTCTAAACGTCTTGTAGTTGATTGTCTAATGTTGGACTGTTAAGTTGTTTATTTTTTCATTAATAACAACACTGTGTTGAATGTCTTTGTAGCTAAATTTTTGTTCATATTCATAATCATTTTCTTAAGCTACATTCCTAGGAGTGAGACAGTGGTTTTGCTTTTTTTAGAGCTTTGCTTTTTTTTTTTCTGAGACAGAGTTTCACTCTTGTTGCCCAGGCTGGAGTGCAACGGCGTGATTTCAGCTCACTGCAACCTCTATCTCCCAGGTTCAAGCCATTCTCCTGCCTCAGCCTCCCAAGTAGCTGGGATTACAGGCATGTGCCACCATGCCTAGCTAATTTTTTATGTTTTTAGTAGAGATGGGGTTTCTCCATGTTGGTCAGGCTGGTCTGGAACTCCTGACCTCAGGTGATCCGCCCACCTTGGCCTCCCAAAGTGCTGGGATTACAGGCGTCAGCCACTGCACTCGGCTTTTTAGAGCTTTTTAGTGCTATTATTGCTAATTTAGTCTCCAGAAAGTTTTTTTTAGCTTATCCTTCCACAGTTAGTGATTAGTGAAATCATTTTTTTCCCATTAAATGTATCTGATCATTTTGTTCTTTTCCAGCGAAGCTTTGCCCTTTTTCCTACTTTTGATTGACCTTTCCAGAGCAAGCGCATTAGCAAAATTTGCGCTCAGTTCCAACTCACAGGTAAGTATTACTTACAAGATAGGAATGTGAATAAGATTCTTTTTTTCAGTTTATATTAGTAGGAAGGATTAATAGAGTTTCTTCATAGCCCAAGATTTAAGAATTGCCCAAAATTTTAAGTTTAGTTCTCAAGTCCCAAGACTGGTCTTCATAAGTCCCAGGAACAGTCCCATTTATCTAACAACTCAATTAAAATTATGTAGCTACTGGAATTTGGAACTGCCCCACTTTTCTTTTTGAAAGTTTTCAGAAATTATGGTAATAATAATTTTGGGATAAATAAGAATATTTACCTAGTGAAACATATCTGAGAGCAGAACAGGATCTAATGGAGGAGAATCCCAGGGTAGACTGATTGAATTTAATTTTTGTGAGATGTAGTCTCACTCTGTCACCCAGGCTGGAGTGCAGTGACGCGATCGCAGCTCACCACAACCTTCGCCTCCTGGGTTCAAGGAATTCTCCTGCCTCAGCCTCCTGAGTAGCTGGGATTACAAGTACTCATCACTATGCCTGACTCATTTTTGTATTTTTAGTAGAGACAGAGTTTTGCCATGTTGGCCAGGCTGGCCTCCAACCCCAAGCTCAAGATTGCCTGCCCCAGCCTCCCAAAGTGCTGGGATTACAGATGTGAGCCACCGCGCCCGGCCAGATTCATTTTTAAACTCTTTAAATTAACCTGGCATTATTTCCTATTTTAAGTTTCATCTTAATATTCGCTAGTCACTTTAAAGAACCTAACCTTTTTAACAATATTGTATTAGAGTATCTTGAGTATAAAATAACACATAATTCTGCCCTGGTTATTTATTTGATGAATGTTTATGATTTGACCATGTTGACAAGGAAATGAGTTTGGTTTTATAATACTAACATGATCTCATAAAAAATTTGCAACTAAATTTCTGTCAATGGTAGGCAAAAATATAGAATGTTGCAGGATTTAATTCTGTGGGATTAAATGACAGAGTTAATGTACCACCTCAAAGGAATATTCCTAAGAAATATCTTATTCAGTGGAAAGGGAATGAGGGCACTATATTTGTTCTTTTTTAAAAATTTGGCTGCGTGGGGTGGTTCACGCCTGTAATCCCAGCACTTTGGGAGGCTGAGGTGGGCAGATCATGAGGTTAGGAGTTCAAGACCAGCCTGGCCAACATGGTGAAACCCGTCTCTACTAAAAATATAAAAATTAGCTGGGCATAGTGGTGCGCACCCATAATCCCAGCTACTGGGCAGGCTGAGGCAGGAGAATGGAACCAGGAAGTGGAGGTTGCAGTGAGCTGAGATCGTGCCACTGCACTCCATTCTGGGTGACAGAGCAAGATTCCGTCTCAAGAAAAAAAAAAACTTTTATATTACTATCATACTTTCTGTCTTGAACACCTGTTTTATCATATTGTATATTTTACTCTTTGAATAGTAATTTGATACTATTATTATTATAATTTGATACCAATATAAGCCATAGGATGCTCTAACATTTTAAAAAGTTTTTTGCACCTTGCCCTCATTGATATGTTTGATCTGTTTTAGGATGAAGTAAGGGAAAATATTGCTCGTGGAATGGCAATTTTAGGTCCCACGTTTACCCTTGATGCTCTTGTTGAATGTCTTGTGATTGGAGTTGGTACCATGTCAGGTTTGTAAGCAATTTTTGCTATATTTTAAAGTAGGTATGTCACTAAAGAGGAAAAAGAACATCTTGGATTTGCATTATTTATTGTTAAATTCTGACTTTTAAATTACTCTTAAAATAATTTTATTGTATTAGTGTATGGGTATATCTGGCCTTGTGTCAGTTGGCTTTGGTGAAAACTTAGCAGCAGGTTACTGATTTATTTTTTACTCCTACCATCCTCTGTGTTCCACTTTTTGATATTTTTGTTCACTTGCTTGCTTTTGTTTGATTTTTAACCAATATTATATTCCAAGGTTGGTCTGGAAAACACCTTCCAGCCCCTTGCTGTTACTTAGACTTCATTTGTGACTTGGTTCCTTTGTTTTAATTGTCAGGTAGAGAGACAAGAGTCAGGAATTGGACAGATCTGAGTAAGATTCACCTAATAAGGTGATTGGAGATATTTAATCCAATAGTAAGCAGTACATCTCAGCAAGTACCTAGCATTAGCCTCAACACGTTTCTTCATTCTTAATTGGATAGTAGAGAATTAGATATTAACATCAAACATAGAACTTCTTTATGTAGAATAAAAATTACGGCCTGGCATGGAAATTTGCCAGATTGAACGTATCATGCTGTGTGAAGGTCTCCTAATCATTAGGATTATATTTTATGGCTTTCTCATAAAGACCATACTTAGTTAACTACTGCGTATTTCCTGATACCTTAGAGCCCTCAGTGAAATAGATGTCTCATTCTTTCCGAAGTAAATTATCTAACTTTTAAGGAAGTAGTTGGTTGTCATTAGTTTAGGTCTCTTCAGTGGATAGTATATTAAAAATGTAACATTGCTTCTTAGTTTCCGAGAGTAAATTATTATTTAGTTATTCTTTTCAAAAAAGATTTTATTTAGCAAATAAAATATTTTTTAATTAAAAAAATTTACTTACCTTAAAATTCACTTTTGGGAGTAGCGTTTTATGAGTTTTGACAATGACGTGGTCATGTAACCACCACTACACTCAAGAAGAATGTTGATTGGATGAAAATATGCTTGTATGATTTTATTCAAGCAAAATAACATATGAGGAAAGGATTAGCCAGGAAGTAATGGTTTGGCCATGAAGCCAAGGGATTATTCATGGAAACTAATGTGGAAGGCAGTTGGGTGATATGGTTAGAGAAAGTAGACAAAGGAGGTGATTAGATCTGTGGTTGGAGAAGGCAGTGAGACAGCTATACAGAAATGGTATAGTTAGAGACTTGGATTAGGGTAGAAAAGGACAGATTTAACACATATTAACTTGGAAGTAACCCTTCGAAAAGGCCAGTATAAAAAGAAGAAAGTCTTAGCTTCTTGGATATACGTGGATTGGTACTATTTCTTTGTGTACTGAGACTTACTTGAAACACAGTAAGGAAGAATGCCTGGAGAGCATACGCCAACAACATGAATGAATATTGTGTGGAAAGAGATAGTAGATAGTCAGGTTGTGAAAGCATTGGTCAGGTATGGTTTCAATGGCCTCAAGTTTGAAAAGATTATATTCAGCTACTATTTAAAATGTAGTTTGATTTGTAATGCTTTTGTTATTGTGATTTTGTAGTCCCTTGAATTCCCATATTTGAAAGTAATTGTGGAATTGAAAAAGTACAATATATGCTTATTCTGGTCAGTCAAATGATATCTTAAAATTTAGAAAATAAAATATAACTTTCAGTTTTTGATAGTAGTTTTTCTAGTGAGCAGCTTTTATAGGACATTTTAAATTTATGTTTCAAAGCGTTATATTTGAGTGACATCAGAAATATATTTTATATTATACTCAAGTTTATTTGTAAAGTGAGGGAGAAGGATTTGGTGGCAATTTAAGGTGTCTTCCAGCCTCTATAATTCTGTTGTTTTCTGTTTGAGATTATCAGATGATACTTTATACATTTTGTAGTGGAATGTATTTGTTAATTTTTAATCTTGAGTTGCCATTTTGTATTATATTATTTTCCAAACAGATCAGTGAAATAACCAAAATTATAAGAACTTCAGTAGGCATCATAGAGGTTATATTGAAATTAGAGTTTGGTGGTACACAAAAAATACTATTTTGATCTATATCAGGACTGGCATAACTGGCAGGATATTCTACTTCTAAGAAATAATCCTTGGTTCATAAGCAAATTGCTTTTCTACTAACAAGTGGGATTAGATCAATAGTGTGACTGAGATTTTGTTCCATTAGAGTAGCCTGTCGTCTAACTACTTATTTCATAACAAGGCACTACTGTTGGACAAAAAGGAATTGGAAACATGTATGTTTATCAGTTGTGTATTAAACACTACATTCTGCCTGGTATTGTGATACTAGAGACATGCGAGAAGGCAAGATCTTTGCCCTTGAAGGACTTAGAGTTCTGTGGTTATTCCTCCTGTTCCCTAAAGATTGGCATCCCCTCTGAGTTGCTAATTCTATTTCCAGTAAATGCTGCTAATATTTTCATGTATTTGTCTACCTGCAGAAAGATAAATATATCCTTGTAATATATGCTGCATCAAAAATACGTACACTTTACTAGTTATATATTTAATTTTTCTGTAACCAGGGGTGCGCCAGCTTGAAATTATGTGCTGCTTTGGCTGCATGTCAGTTCTTGCCAACTACTTCGTGTTCATGACTTTCTTCCCAGCTTGTGTGTCCTTGGTATTAGAGGTAAGACCAGTTCTTACATATGGCACTAGTAGAAGAGTAAGATTTCTGCTTACATCAGTTTACCTAAACAGAATCAGTACCTTCTAACGTCTCACTGGCTTAATTTGTAGCTTTCTCGGGAAAGCCGTGAGGGTCGTCCAATTTGGCAGCTCAGCCATTTTGCCCGAGTTTTAGAAGAAGAAGAAAATAAGCCAAATCCTGTAACTCAGAGAGTCAAGATGATTATGGTAATGACATAGTTTTCTTCTCCTTTTAGTATTCTCAGTTCCAATCTCATTCTTGTTAAGATTTCTTTTTCTTTACAATTTTTGATCCATTCAATGATATTGCACCTTCTTCTTCCTTTTTTTCTTAACGAATTCATTTCATTGAGACTCCTGGTCTTTATTAGTCCCTCTTCCCTAAACCGACTTTTTAAGTTCCTCCACCTTATGTCTCTGAAAACCTGTTCTTTGGGATGTTTTCAGTATTTTAGTGGAGTCACTACTTTAGTTAGCTGCATAGCAAGCTAGGGGCTTTCTTTTCATGGTAAGGAGAAGCTTTGAGAGATAATGTCTGGTTGTCCAGTTGCTAGAGATAAGAAACTTAGGTTCTGTTGATATGCAGGGGATATATCATTTAAAAAATTTTATTTCAGTCTCTAGGCTTGGTTCTTGTTCATGCTCACAGTCGCTGGATAGCTGATCCCTCTCCTCAAAACAGTACAGCAGATACTTCTAAGGTTTCTTTAGGACTGGATGAAAATGTGTCCAAGAGAATTGAACCAAGTGTTTCCCTCTGGCAATTTTATCTCTCTAAGTAAGTTAATTGAAATCTACTTTGTGATATATTAATCATAACACTCTATGCTAATATAAGTTTAGATTTTGACCTTTACCTTTCTGAATAATATTTCAATTTGCTTTCTTTTACTCAGAATGATCAGCATGGATATTGAACAAGTTATTACCCTAAGTTTAGCTCTCCTTCTGGCTGTCAAGTACATCTTCTTTGAACAAGCAGAGACAGAATCTACACTCTCCTTAAAAAACCCTATCACATCTCCTGTAGTGACACAAAAGAAAGTCCCAGACAATTGTTGTAGACGTGAACCTATGCTGGTCAGAAATAACCAGAAATGTGACTCAGTAGAGGAAGAGACAGGGATAAACCGAGAAAGAAAAGGTAACTTGTTATTCTCTTCACTTTCAATCCTTTACTGCTTTGTCAAAAAGTAGTCTATATTCAAAATTATGTGCCATGTTGTGAGATTTCTTTTAATCTCTTGGACAGTTGAGGTTATAAAACCCTTAGTGGCTGAAACAGATACCCCAAACAGAGCTACATTTGTGGTTGGTAACTCCTCCTTACTCGATACCTCATCAGTACTGGTGACACAGGAACCTGAAATTGAACTTCCCAGGGAACCTCGGCCTAACGAAGAATGTCTACAGATACTTGGGAATGCAGAGGTGAGGACGATAACATAAACTCAAATGTGGCATTTTTCTTTAAAAAGGAGCCTTTTCAAGGAAGAAAAATCTAGTATCTGCTGAACACTACAAATAAGTTCTAGGTACCATGTAACATGACTAACAGATACTGCCTCCTTTCTTTATTTCTCACAACCTTGAGAGGTAGGTAGAATTGTCTATTTTTCAGATGAGAACATTGAGGCTTCAAGATGTTTCATTTCCCAAAGTAGTACATCTAGGAAATGGTAAAGCTGGTAGCAGGGTCCAAGATTTTCTGACTCCAGAGTCAAAACTTTTTCTGTTAACTGTTTATCATTGAGACAAGTGACTACTGTATTCTCATAGGTATGTTGAGGCCTACAAAGAATTTAACACAGAGACAAGTTTCAAAGATAGAAGAAAGTTGGTTTTTGTTTTGTTTTGTAAGCTTGATGCCCATGAGGAAGCTTACTTTTCTTTCTGAGATTTGAAAAAGATCTGCCTACATGACCATATGAATCTACTTGTGCTTTGGTACAAATAATCATGTTCCATTCATGTGTGCTTAATATGGTTAATTCTTTTTTAAAAATATATTTTAATACATTTATTGGTAAAATGCAATTTTTTACCAGCTTTGTTGAAAAATACTTGACAAGTAAAATTTTATTTTATTATTATCATTGTTATTTTTTGAGACAGTGTCACTCTGTTGCCAGGCTGGAGTGCAGTGGCGCCATCTTGGCTCACTGCAACCTCCGCCTCCCAGGTTCAGGCGATTCTTGTGTATCAGCCTCATGAGTAGCCGGGATTATAGGTATGTACCACCATGTCTGGCTAATTTTTGTATTTTTAGTAGAGATGGTGTTTCACCATGTTGGCCAGGTTGGTCTTGAACTCCTGACCTCAAGTGATGCACCTGTATCAGCCTCCCAGAGTGCTGGGATTACAAGCATAAGCCACCACGCCTGGCCAAAATTTTATATATTTAAGGTGTACACTTGATGTTTTCATGTATGTATACATTGTGAATCAGTCACCACCATCAAGGTACATACACATCACCTCACACAGTGATCTTTCCTTTTTTCTTCTTTTTATTTCTTCTCTCCTTTCTCCTGTCTCTCTCTCTTTCTTCCTCCCTCCCTTGCTTTTCTTCCTTTTAGCTGTCTTTCATTCTGCTTTTTGGGAAACATTTAAAATCTACCCTCTTACCACATTTCAAGTACAAAGTATTGTTAACAGTAGTCATATTGCTGTACATTAGATCAGAGCTTATTCATCATGCATGACTGAAATTTTGTACCAACATCTTGACCATTTCCCAGCCCCTGGCTACCACTATTCTACTCTCTGCCTATATGAGTGTGACTATTGTAGATTCCATATATAAGTGAAATCATGTGGTATCTTTCTGAGGTTAATTTTTTATTTATGTGCACATGAGTAAGAGAGAAGGTGTGTTTTTCTTTCCTTTCCCTCTTTCCTGTTAACATATGCATCAGTAACTCAGCTATTTTGCTATATGCAGAGTTAGCAGAACTTACAGGGTGGGTGTAAGATCTTAATTATAGATTTTTTTTTTAAATGAATCTCACTTGGAAATTTTGATGTTTTAGTCTTACTCGTTTTAGTTTTTATAGTTCTATAAAGAATTTACTTTCCTTTCGATATTCTGATTTCTATTTAAGTCCTCTCCCTCTTTAGAAACCCAAAACTCCTCTTACAGTGCTTGTGTTTCAGCTCTGTCAAGTGCCAGTCTCCTCAGCTAGACTACATACTACATAGCCAGGACTTGTACATGAAATCTTTTAAATAAATAAATATTGATTGCTTTCCATTGATCAACCCATGGAATAGGCAAATTTATCTTACAGATGAGGTCTCAGGCTTGCAGAGGGCAGGCCTGCAGTAGAGTAGGTGAGCTCTTTGTTTTTGAGGCAGGATCTTGCTTTTTTGCCCAGGCTGGAGTGCTGTGGCATGAACACAGCTCACTGCAGCCTTGACTTCCTGGATTCAAGCAATCCTCCCTCCTCAGCCTCCTGAGTAGTTGGGACTACAGGTGTGTGCCATGACACCTGGCTACTTTTTAAATTTTTTGTAGATATGGGGTCTCCCTATCTACAGACCAGGGCGGTCTGAAACTCCTGAGCTCAGGTGATCTTCCTGCCTCGGCCTTACAAAGCGTTGGGATTACAGGCATGTGCCGTCATACCCACCCAGACATTGGCTTATTTTCCCTTCTACTTAAAAGGGTTTGGTATTGAGCAAGGTTTATCAGCTTATTTGTTCTATTTTTTTTTATAAGAATATCTGAAGTTTGGAATTTCCACCTCTAAAGATAAAAGTAATCTATTGGTAAGTTAGCTGCTAAATTTATCTGTACTTAACATGAAAATTATTTTGGTTAAGCACAATATTATATACTTGAATATGTTTCATCTGCATTTTTTTTTTTTTTTTTTTTTTTTTTTTTTTTTTTTTTTTTTTTTTTTTTTTTTTTTTTTTTTGAGACAGTGTCTTACTCTGTCAACCAGGCTGGAGTGCAGTGGCATAATCTCAGCTCACTGCAACCTCTGCCTCCCAGGTTCAGATGATTTTTCTGCCTCGGCCTCCCAAGCAGCTGGGATTTCAGGCATGTGCCACCACACCTGGCTAATTTTTTATTTTTTTTAGTAAAGACAAGGTTTCATTATGTTGGCCAGGCTGGTCTCAAACTCCTGGCCTCAGGTGGTCCACCTGCTTTGGCCTCCCAAAGTGTTGGGTTTACAGGAATGAGTCACTGCACCTGGCCTGCATTCTTAATCATATACTTTTTAGCTGAATTTAGTCATTCTTTAAACGTAGTTCTCAACTCTAGGTTCTATTGTTCATGTCATCTGACTTGCCCCCTCTCCAGGTGTTCATACCTTTAGGGCAAATGTTAGCATCTCTATGAAACCTAGTGCAATTCCTCCAAACAGAAGTAACCTTTCTTTTCTGATGCCTCCTTTATATAGAGACTGCTTTTTTTTTTTTTTTTTTTTTTTTGAGTCGGAGTCTCACTCTGTCACTCGCCCAGGCTGGAGTGCAGTGGCCAGGTCTCGACTCAACAACCTCTGCCTCCTATGTTCAACTGATTCTCCTGCCTCAGCCTTCTGAGTAGCTGGGACTATAGGCGTGTGCCACCACACCTGGCTAATTTTTTATTTTTAGTAGAGACAGGGTTTTACAATGTTGGCCAGGCTGGTCGCGAACTCCTGACCTCATGATCCGCCCACCTCAGCCTCCCAAAGTGTTGGGATTACAGGGGTGAGCCACTGTGCCCGGCTGAGACTGTGCATTTTTAATGGTAGTTGTACCTTGTTGCTTATATCACATTTACCTGAATATCTTTGAAGTCTGAGTCCATGTCTTAAGAGGGCTTTGGATTTCATAGATGCTCAGTAAACTTTAAAAGAATGAATGAATTTGCCATGATAATACATAAACCAGCTAATGTTTATCTTAATATTCTTTGGAAAAATTAGGGTAATATTAACGCTTGCAAAGAAGATCCTTGAATAAACCCAGAGGTATTAGTCACAAAATTAATTACTGGTACCAGTTTTGTAGAGGGTAATGATTATGAGCGTGTGTGTGTGTGTATATGTGTGTATGTATATGTATGTGTATTACCACCACAAGCAGAGTGAAGAGACAGCTAATAAACCAAGAGAAAATATTGGCAATTTATATTTAAAGCTAAGGGGCTTATCTCTCTAATATATAAGAGCGCCTACAAATTGATGAGACTAAATTTTTATCTAATTTTTAAGAAGAACAGATAATATAATCAGTCTGTTGTCAGGATAAAAGTACATATGGCTCTTAAAAATGTGAAAAGGTGATTAACTTCATCCTAAGAGAAATGCAAATTAAAATTGCACTTGAGATATTTTCACTCATCAGATTGACAATAATCCCAAAGTTTAGTAATATAATCTATCGAGGTTGCAGGGAAAGGTCTTTTTTTACATTGCTGGTGAGAAGGCAATTGGACAATGTTTATTCCAATTAATAAATTTGTAAAAATTATAAAAATTTTTAAGCTTATAAATGTTCATACCCTTTGGCCCAACACTTGTGTGAATTTATACCCATATGTGTGTGTATATATTTATGCATATTTATAATTATGCATAAAAGAATCTCTGGACAGATACACTATAAAACAGTGGTACCTATTGATGTGTAGGTAACAAAGAACTGGACAGATGGTAGACAGGGATGGGATGAAGACATTTTGTTATATGTCTTTTAATATTTAGTTTTTTAACCATGTGAATATATTGCCTGTTCAGAAAATTAAAAATTGAAAGCTTACTAGAGTTTAAACAATAGCTGTTACATCTGACGCGCACTTGTAACAATGCTAAATTCATATTTTCTTTTTATGGTGTATTAGTGCAGGTCTCTCTTTGTATTGTAAAGTCTAATGATAGGATATTTATATTATTTTTGTTTGGTATTATTTGTATTAAATGAATTGTTTATTTTGCAGAGGTATCTTTTAATTAAAAACTACAGTGATTTAATAGAAAAAATTCCATTATTGTAATTTAGCATTGTTTGTATTAGATGGTTTATAACATGAAATATAGTCCTTCAAGTCTTCTGTTACATCTCTCTCTCTTACCCCCCCTTTTATTGTTTTCTCCATTTCTTTAGAAAGGTGCAAAATACCTTAGTGATGCTGAGATCATCCAGTTAGTGAATGCTAAGCATATCCCAGCCTACAAGTTGGAAACTCTGATGGAAACTCATGAGCGTGGTGTATCTATTCGCCGACAGTTACTTTCCAAAAAGCTTTCAGAACCTTCTTCTCTCCAGTACCTACCTTACAGAGATTATAATTACTCCTTGGTATGTTATTTTCTTAAGAGAGGTTTGCTTTGTATGTTTTTAATCCTTTTCTTTTCTTGATTAGTTTTGTATATGTGCATAGTTTTTAAAAACATTTTCCTTTTCAATCATTTTACTGTAATTTTTTTATTCTGCTTATGATGTAGGTCATAGAAATTAAAAATATTTTTTCCTGTTTTTATAGTCATTACTCAAAGATTTTAGTGTTGTAAACACTTTTTAAAGGTAAATTAAAAATTTTGCTTAAAAAGAATACATACTAAAGGATTAAGTTGGAAGATAGTTACTACTGACGAGCTGAGATGAGTTTTTGTGCGTTCACTGTATAGATTTTCATTAGGTGCCTGACTTTACCTTTTAGGTGATGGGAGCTTGTTGTGAGAATGTTATTGGATATATGCCCATTCCCGTTGGAGTGGCAGGACCTCTTTGCTTGGATGGAAAAGAATTTCAGGTTCCAATGGCAACAACAGAAGGTTGTCTTGTGGCCAGCACCAATAGAGGCTGCAGAGCAATAGGTGTAAGTTGACATTTATATATTTGCCAGTTTTAAAATACATCTTAGGTAAAGCAATGAGAAGAGGTTTGGAGACAATCAGGGATACCTTCTGGGTGAAGTAGAAGTGTTTTTGGGTAACGTGGTTCTCTGACATATACCATGTAGCTTGGTGGAGGTGCCAGTAGCCGAGTCCTTGCAGATGGGATGACTCGTGGCCCAGTTGTGCGTCTTCCACGTGCTTGTGACTCTGCAGAAGTGAAAGCCTGGCTTGAAACACCTGAAGGGTTCGCAGTAATAAAGGAGGCATTTGACAGCACCAGCAGGTGTGTGAGTGGATTTGTCTGTACATTTATCTCTATTTGTTTATTTTAGAAGCAGTGTCATTTTCTGTGATTCCAAACATAATTGTTAACATATTACCTGCTTAAGAGAACATAACAGAATATCAACTTTAAAGCCCTTCATTTAAAATGACTAATGTTTATGATTGGTTGGGGAAAAAAAGAATGTCAATTCAAATGAATAGCTCCATAGAGGTAAATGAGTAAGGAATAAAAAAAAAAGTGTGAGCTAGCAATTATGATTAGTCTGTTATTTTGCCTAGGAGAGAATTGTCTTAGAAAAAAAGATTTTCCAAATAGGAGAGAAGTATTTGTATAATAGATTTACTTTAAATAAAGTTAAATTTATAAAGTAGCATAATCAACACAAATGATAACCACAATATAGTTCAAGCTAACACATTTATTTTTATGCAAATTGTAAGTTTATTAAGAAATAATTGTGTACAGCCCTCCTCTTGTAGCATTTAGGAATGAAACGAAGTAGAAATAGTACTTAAAAAAGAAAGTAAGTAATTTCCATTAGTTTTCTCTTACGCTTGAAATGAAGTGACTGAAGTAGATTTCAACATAACTTTCATCTTCTTAAAAGAATAAAATACAAGCCAGGCACAGTGTTTCATGCCTGTTATCCCAGCACTTTGGGAGGCCAAGGTGGACAGATCACTTGAGGCCAGGAGTTCGAGACCAGCCTGGCCGACATGATGAAACCCTGTCTCTACTCAAAATACAAAAATTAGCCAGGCATGGTGGCCCGCGCCTGTAATCCCAGCTACTCGGGAGGCTGAGGCAGGAGAATCGCTTAAACCCGGGAGGCAGAGGTTGCAGTGAACCAAGATCACGCCACTGTACTCCAGCCTAGGCAAAGGAGTGAGACTCCATCTCAAAAAATAAAAATAAATAAAATAAAAGAATAAAATGTAACCTTTCCATCTTTTATTTATAGATTTGCACGTCTACAGAAACTTCATACAAGTATAGCTGGACGCAACCTTTATATCCGTTTCCAGTCCAGGTCAGGGGATGCCATGGGGATGAACATGATTTCAAAGGTAAGTGTAGGCAGAGTATCTGAAAGTACTTTTATTGAAAGGTAAATATTGATTGATATAACTCATGTTAATATCATTAAGGCATTTGTTGATTGGTTTTCCTTACATTTGATATGTTTAATTTAAACTTGGCATTACACATATCCTGGGTTTACTCAGGACTGGGAATAATCTTAGTGTTGACACTTCAAAACTTTATCCAGTCAAGAGGTCACCTTTGAAGCTGACCTATTCCAGAGACTTCAAGATTTGTCTTTAAGGACACCAATATAAGCTCAGTGCTTTGGGAGGCCAAGACAAGAAGATTGCTTGGGGTCTGGAGTTCAAGACCAGGCTGGGCAACACGGTGCAATGCCATCTCTACAAACAATAAAAAAAAAAATTAGCTGGGCATAGTGGCACACACCTGTGGTCCTCACGACAGGTGAGGACCCTCCGCCAAGGCAGGAAGATAACTTGAGCCTAGGAGCTTGAGGCCAGCTTGGGCAATGTAGCAAGACTCTGACTCCATTCATCTATCCATCCATCCATTTTCAGTTTAGGATATTTTCTACTTATGTGGGGTTTACAGCCTAATAAATGTATCAGAAGTCAAGGAGCATCTGTATAAGCTTTAAAATTGCCAGTAAACAGTATGGCAATTCAACAACTTAAAAATAGAATTACCATATGATCCAGCAGTTGTCATTCTCGGCATATACCCAAAAGAACTGAAAGCAGTTCTCAAAGAGATGTTTGTGCACTTATGTTTGTAGCAGCATTTTTCATAATAGCCAAGAGTTGGAATCAACCTAAGTGTTCATTGATGAATGAATGGACAACAAATTAGATGTATTTGTGTGTGTATATGTCTATATGTCTGTAATATATAAAAATATATAATATATATTTGTGTATATGTACATGTCTATATATATTTTGTATGTATATTTATATATAGAATGGAATATTCAGATTTAAAAAGGAAGAAAATTATAGTGCATGATGAAATATGGATAAACTTCGATGACATTATGCTAAATGAAATGAATCAGTCACAAAAAGACAAACACTGTATGATTCCACTTGAATGAGGTGTCTAGAGTAGTCAAACTCGTAGAGACAGAGAGTAGAATGGTTTTTATCAGGGGTTCTCAGCAAACGAACACAAGAACAGAAAACCAAATACCACACATTCAGACTTATAAGTGGGAGCTGAACAGTGAGAACACGTGGACATAGAGAGGGGAACAACACACACCAAAGCATGTTGAGGGGCAGGGGACGAGGGAAATGAAAGCATTAGGACAAACACCTAATGCGTGCAGGGGTTAAAACCTGTATGACAGGTTGATAGGTGCAGCAAACCACCATGGCACATGTATACCTATGTAACCTGCAGATTCTGTACATGTATCCCAGAACTTAAATTTGAGTTCTGAGGATTAGTTACATGGCAGTGTGAATATGCTTACCACTGTACACCAAAAAATGGTTAGGATGGTAAATTTTGTGTGCCTTAACACAATAAAAATTTTTTTTTAATTGCCAACAAATATGTTTTGGTTTGTTGGGGTGTGAGTTAATTGAATTAATTCCGTTTAATTGGAAGTCATTGGAAGGCTTATTTATATTTTATGTAATACAAAGCCCTATGACTTTGTTTTCAGAAGATCAACCCTTATGACCCACTTCCCTTTATAGACTTCATTACTTGGGCTTTTAGGTAACAGCTGAATAACTAGAAGATGGAATTTATTACTCATTCCCCAATGACATATAAATATGAGTATTCTTGTTGAGAATACTTATTGAGTATTCTTAAACATTATCATTTTTATCTACATCCTATTAGCAATGACCTCAAAGAACTTGGTTTTCATACCTAGAGAGAAACACATTAGGAATCTATACCTGACCAAGAAATTTGTAATTGTGATGGTTAATAAAACACCTGTTATTTTTGTGCTCAGTTTCTTTGAAGTATAGTTATTATACTTAGAAATATATCATAGATACAAATAAATTATTCTCATAAGGATAAATACTTCATGGATTTTCATGTTTGTATGTTTTGGGTTCTTGTTAATAGGGTACAGAGAAAGCACTTTCAAAACTTCATGAGTATTTCCCTGAAATGCAGATTCTAGCTGTTAGTGGTAACTATTGTACTGACAAGAAACCTGCTGCTATAAATTGGATAGAGGGAAGAGGAAAATCTGTTGTTTCTGAAGCTGTCATTCCAGCCAAGGTTGTCAGAGAAGTGAGTGATTGGATGGATATTTTATCTTTTTATTTTGTAATCTTTAATTGTATTTAAAAATGGGGGAAAGGAGTATTAACATTCTAAATACAGTTAAATATATGGGACAGTGTTTTCCATTAAAGATGACTGTTGTACCTTGCCCATCTGTCTGTGTGTGGCATCTGTAGGAAAAATCTTTATTGATTACTTTTTTGGATTTTTTTTTTTTTTTAAGGATGGCAGGGCTTACGTGGGGCCACATCTAAACTCCTTTGTTTTCTGGAGGTGCAGAAAGATAGATTTGGGTAACATTTCCCTGAGCCTTCTGGAGGAACATTTAAATGTACACAGCTCTGTTTTCTAGGTATTAAAGACAACCACAGAGGCTATGATTGAGGTCAACATTAACAAGAATTTAGTGGGCTCTGCCATGGCTGGGAGCATAGGAGGCTACAACGCCCATGCAGCAAACATTGTCACTGCCATCTACATTGCCTGTGGGCAGGTGAGCTCTCCAGCCTCCACTTCTCTTCTATTATGTTTTTCTAAATGAAAGAAGTATATTGTATATTTTTCTTTCCTTTTTCCAGGATGCAGCACAGAATGTTGGTAGTTCAAACTGTATTACTTTAATGGAAGCAAGTGGTCCCACAAATGAAGATTTATATATCAGCTGCACCATGCCATCTATAGAGATAGGAACAGTGGGTGGTGGGACCAACCTTCTACCTCAGCAAGCGTGTTTGCAGGTATGATGTACCAGGCATAGAGTCCGCAAGCCCAGTTCTGAGTCTCTATCTGGGACTATGTATCACTCACCTCTGTATTTTAATTGGTCTTTTCAAAACTCTTTTGTCTCATACCAGCGTAATCCATTGTGTCCAAATAAACATGTTTAAGCATATGCTTAGGTAAGAAAGTAGATGAAGAGAGCAGATGAATGTTCACCTGTTGAGCTAAGGGTACTGCCAGTCAGGCTGTGAATATGATGCCAGCTGTGGTATTATGCACTGTCAGTCCTGGCTGTCGAGTCTTGGAAAGTTAGTACTTCCAGTGGAGCCTAGTTCTATTCCAATGCCATTATAGTTACCCTGTTTTTAGTTGATTTGGTAAGAAATTGTTCATGATTTTAAGGGTGACTCTTGCTGTGTCTCTCTTTGGCTACAGATGCTAGGTGTTCAAGGAGCATGCCACGATAATCCTGGGGAAAATGCCCGCCAGCTTGCCCGAATTGTGTGTGGGACTGTAATGGCTGGGGAATTGTCACTTATGGCAGCATTGGCAGCAGGACATCTTGTCAAAAGTCACATGATTCACAACAGGTAAGACTCAAAGATATATTTAACAAGTTTTCCCTATACTTCAAAACATATGCAGTATAAAAATTTATTACTCAGATACTGTAGTCTCAAGTTAAAATCCTGCATCCTGATATTTTATATATTCGTTGTTTTCTACCATAGGTCAAAAATCAATTTACAAGACCTCCAAGGAACTTGCACCAAGAAGACAGCTTGAATAGCCTGACAGTTCTGAACTGAAACATGGGCATTGGGTTCTAAAGGACTAACGTAAAGTCTGTGAATTAAAAAAGTTCAATGCAGTGTCTTGTTGAGGATGAGTAGATGTGATCAGTGAGACAACTACTTGGTTTTTGGCTGTTTCAGAGAAGTCAGGTTCTTTCCATACAGACTCATCAGATCTGAACACAGTTTAGTGCTACATGCTATGCTCTTTGGAAAGATTTCAACAAGAATATTGTACGTTAAAGCATCAAAGATGGTAATCTACACCTCATCTCTGAAGGCAAATGCAAACTGGGAAGAAAGTTTTTATGAAAGTCTTGAAGTTCATGGCGATCAGTGTGCGATTGGCCTTCTCCCTCACCCCACCGGCTGAAAATGAATTTTTAAATTATACTGTAGCTGACAAAACTCCTGATTTTATAGTTAATTTATTAAGTCTGGGATGTAGAACTTCCAGAAATAAGAGCTAAGTTCATATTTGTAAATTAATACTTCATTTGGTGCTGGTCTATTTTGATTTTGGGGGTAATCAGCATTATTCTTCAGAAGGGGACCTGTTTTCTTCAAGGGAAGAAACACTTATTCCCAAACTACAGAATAATGTGCTCAATAGTGCTAAATAGTTCTATCAGGAAAACAAATCACTGCATTTATCTCCGAAGGCTATTTGTTCAGAGAGGCCTTTTGTTTAAATATAAATGTGCGTCTAGATTGGCTGTAACATGTCTTTCAGCATTAGGCTTTAAGAAACACAGGGTTTTGTATTCTTTACTAAAGATGTCAGAGCTCTTAATGTTGCTTAGATGAGGGTGACTGTCAAGTACAAGCAAGACTGGGACCTCAGAACTCGGTAGAAACCCAGTTTTGAAAGAAAAAGAGTTTCTTTAAGCCAACTTTAATTGCTTAAAAGACATTTTTATTTAGTTGAAAAATCTAGGGTTTTTTTTTTTTTTTGTAAACTGTATCAAATCTGTATATGTTGTAATAAAGCTTCTTATGCTAGTTTATTGAAGGTATTCAAGAAATAAAAATCAACTTGTGTACTGATAAAATGCTCTAGCTTGGGCCAGAGAAGATAATGTTCTTTAATTTTGTCCAGGAAACCCTGGCTTGCTTGCCGAGCTTAATGAAAGGGAAAGTCAGCTTGCAGAGCCAGTGAAGGAGCCACGTGAATGGCCCTAGAACTGTGCCTAGTTCCTGTGGCCAGGAGGTTGGTGACTGAAACATTCACACAGGGCTCTTTGACGGACCCATGAACGCTCTTAGCTTCCTCAGGGGGTCAGCAGAGTTTTTGAGTCTTAATCTTTTTTTAATGTACAAGTTTTGTATAAATAATAAAGAACTCCTTATTTTGTATTACCTCTAATGCTTCAAGTGTTGGTCTTGGAAAGCTGATGTCTCTTGTAGAAGATGGACTCTGAACAACATTCCCGTAAACCACGGCAGCATGGAGAGCCTCTTAGTGATTGTGTCTGCAGTATTATTGTGGAAGATTTACCTTTTCTGTTGTACATAAAGCTTAACTTGCTTTTGTTGTGACTTTTTAGCCAGTGCCTCTTTCTGAGCTTTTCATGGAAGTGGCAGTGAAAAGTATGTTGACTGTAATTAATACCATCTTGCTAAATTAATGTTTTGTACAATTGCTAAATTGTATACATTTTGTTATAGAATACTTTTTTCTAGTTCCAGTAAATGATGAAAAGGAAGTTAATACCAATAAGTGTAAGCAGTAACTTTTTTTTCTTTGGATTAACCCTAGCCCTGAGGTCTGGAAACTTATAAAGTCTGGTCATGGTAGTAACCTGTAATTCATGCTAGGAGTCACATGACCATCTGCTCTCAAACTCTACAACATTGACAGCAGTATTCCATTGCATTAAAATGAGCTTTCTTAGAGGGTTTGATTAGTTCAGATTTATCATCTCAACTGGACATCTTTTGGATAGCAAGAGTGGGAGGGCTAGTTAAGGGAAAGAGGCGCAGCCACAACCAAATGGCCGTTGCAAGCATTTAAGCAGTGTGAGCTGAACTGGAGAGAGGTGCAGCTTAGTATAGCTAAGGATGGCCTCTTGTATATTTACATGAAATTACTGACTACACTTTTACTATAGTTAGAGGTAAAAAGGTATGTATGAGCCACTACTAAGAAAGAACCAAGGCCCAGATAGCAGAGAATCAGTTTGAATTTTTCTCGGAAATGACCTGTGATCACCTGTATGCTCAGCGCTCTCCAGGGTGCAACAGGCTGGACAGAGAGAATGAAGGATCTTCAAGCCTACTTTCTGCCTGGGTGATTTGCTGAGCAATGAGATGCATGTGGCAGGACAGGATGTTTCATTTCAGGAGATGATAAATGATTACATCCAATGGGCACATCTCACACTGAAGGATCTGAGCTCAGACGAGGGCAAAGAAGAGCAAAACACATCAATACTCGTCTCCTGAGCATTATGTTCATTGTGGAGATGTTTTGCAAGACCAGTGTTTCTCAGAAAGTATGCTCCTGTGCTGGATAAATCTTGAATTTATTTATTTTTGAGACAGAGTCTCGCTCTTGTTGCCTAGGCTGGAGTGCAGTGGTGTGATCTCAGCTCACTACAACCTTTGCCTCCCAGGTTCAAGCCATAACCTCTACACTGGAAGCTGAGAAAAGATGGCAGATGATTTAATTTTCAATTGTTTAAAGCTTAACGGATGAGTTTTTTCATTTTGGTGTGCTTGCAACACAGCCCTCCTACCCCCATCCCAGCCATCATTTCCCATCCTGAGCAAGTTTGAGAGCTGCAGAGGGAGGTGTGGGCGCTTGTGCATCGGGATGTGTTTTCTAACAGCTGCTCCCTAAGGCCAAAAGAAGAGCCTCACACTGACAGCTGGAGTTAGGGGGTGGAATGCAAAAGATGGCTTCAATACTGTGTGGCTCTAAAATGAGTGTGCATCCACGCAGAGGACCTGCTTAAACAGACTGGTGGACCCTGACCCAGCAATTTGATTCCCTTGCTCTGGGGTGGGGCTAGAACTTTGGCAGTTAACAGGTGCTGCTGCTCTGATAGGTTGGAATTTCAGTATGAGGTGCCTGGTGGGGCTGTGAATGAATGGTATTACAAAATTGTGTTTATTCAGAAGCACAAGGTTGGAAAACACCAGGGAGAGACCAAATGTTGACTAACAAAAGTTTAATTGGAATTAACCCAAGAGAGATGTAATAACTGACTAGAAAAATGTTATTTGGATTTGGTGCTCCTCACACATCCCCCTCCTACTCAGAGCAACACTGAAGGTCTTCACCTCTTCAACCTGTGGAGTGACTGCCCCAGAGAGAGGCACGTACCACCACCTAGTCCCTTCACCCTCCTCCTTGTTCCTGCACTCTCCTGCAGAGGGCCAAATAAGAAGGGAGGGAATGTAGTTCCTGTTGGAGGTTTGCATTCATGTATCACTGTCCACTCCCCATCCTCACCCCACCTGCCCTATGAAGTTTGACTCCTTTGAATTGTAACTTCCCAGGACTACTATAGCGCTAGAGCAGGATTAGTCCCAGGCAACAGCTTGGAACCTTGGCAGGAAAGCATCAGGAAGTAATCCAAACTAGAAGGGCTAGGGTCATCCAGTCTGTGTTGATTATGGAAGTCCTTTGCTTTCATGTCACTTGCAAATTTGAAGTGGGCTGGAAGTGGAGGTGGGTGGAAATCGAGGGGACAATTCTGTTTGTCTCCACTCTAAAATCAGCTGGGATTATACTCAGTAGAAGCCTTGGGCACAATCAAGCAAATTCAGAGTATTGATAACCCTGCATGATGTGTGATGGAAGAGTCTCGCTCCCTAGTTCTCTTGTAGCACTAAAGCTCATAAAGGAATTAACAGAGAAGCCTCTACTTTCCTGCCCATTTCACCGTCTATATTTGGGCTATAACCTCAAAGGGCTCTTACAGTGAAATCAAGTTTTGGTGCACTTCCTCAGTCTTTTCTGGTCTAGGACATAGCCTGTGAGCTCTCGTTCTTAAAACTTCATCCTCTAATAACAAAAGGTTCTCAGATCTGTATGGAGAGTCGCCTGCCTCAGGCCAAGCCTCTTTCAACACATCTAGATGCACTTACCCAGGGTTCCCAACCTTTTTGGCACCAGGGATCAATTTCGTGGAACACAATTTTTCTACGGATGGGGTGAAGTTAGGAGGATGATATTGGGATGAAACAGTTCCACCTCAGTTCGGGTATTAGATTCTCATGAGTGCAAAACCTAGATCCCTCACATGCGCAGCTCACAATAGGGTTCTTGCTCCCGTGAGAATTTAATGCTGCTGCTGATCTGACAGGAGGTGGAGCTCAGGTAGCAATGCTCACTCTCCAGCGGCTCACCTCCTGCTGTGTGGCCTGGTTCCTAACAGGCCACAGACCTGTACCTAACTCAACTGTACAACAGAAATAACTGAAGCTTGCTGGTATAGCCAGGCGAGTAGTCATTTTAAATGGAAAGTTCTTGGGGGAAAAGCCATCTTTAACTTGCTAAGGATGGCACTTACCTATGCCAGTAGAATTCAAACCTTGAACACCCCATCAGAAAAAATTTTGGACATACACCTCCAACAGTATTTTGTTTTTTGATACAGTCTCACTCTGTTGTCCAGGCTGGAGAGCAGTGATGCAATCTCAGCTCACTGCAACCTCCATCTCCCAGGTTCAAGTGATTCTCCTGCCTCAGCCTCCCAAGCAGCTGGGATTACAGATATGTACCACCATGCCTGGCTAATTTTTGTATTTTTAGTAGAGATGAGTTTCACCATGTTGGCCAGGCTGGAAATATTTATTTCTTGACAAATCATATCGAATTATGTACATTCTGAAACAAAAATTAAATGATAAAAATATACACAAACAAAAGTTGATTTTTTTCTTTTCTGTGCTGCAGAGATAAATCTTGCCCACATTTTCTTCTGGACTGAGGTCTCAGGAAGGCAGGGACTGTGTCTTTTCTTGTTACCTTAAACAAGTGTCTTACATTAAAGGTCCTCAAAGTTTGTTGAATGGCTGGTGCAACAAATTAATATACTTAGCACTTATGGCAAACAGAAAAAAGTCACAACAGAAAGCCAGGCAGTGTTGAGGGAGCTGGAAATCCAGAGACTTCCATTCCGGTCCTTGCTGTGAGACTTCATGCTATCCACTTCCTATCTCGTCTTCACTTTCCTTAATTGTGAAATGAGCCAGCTGGATTCGCTGACTTCTAAGGCAGTGTCTGTCTAGCTCTATATAATCTATGAAATGCTATATTTGTGTCCTCATATATAAACACAGAATCAGTCTATTATCCAATGATGGAAACATGAGGCATTTTTGTAGTGGTTGATATGAATCCCATGTGTATTGATACTTTAGGGGACAGCCTTATCTTCCACAGAGCACCATGGGGATGGTCAGCAGAAGTGAATCAGCTAATCTTCATTTTCATCATCTCTCCTCAGCAGCTGCACAGCTAACAATAACTCTGCAGCTCAGACCTGCTGTGGGCTACCCAGCATTTCTTTTGACTCCTTGCTCATCTGCCACTATCTGGGCTGGGAGATATGGCATCTCTTTATAAAGCTTAAGTCCTAGGGGAAAGAAGATAATAGTGTTCCTCTCCTTGGATCTCATCCTTGTACCTTCTCATCGAAGTTGAAAACTCTTCTGCTCCTCCAGTTCCATTTGCTCCTTCTATTCACAAGCTATCCATACTTTTTTCCCGCTTTTTTTGCCACCTCAAACATACACTGTATTGAAACTGCTCTCTGGCTTTAGGTGGGGTCCTGTGTTCTACCGGTCAGTTGAGCTAATAAACTGAGCCTAGCTTATTAGTAGACCTTGCAGACTAATACAACAAGCAGTGTCATCGTACTTATATAATCCAAAGGAAAAGGACATACAATAGAACTGAAGAACAGTTGGGGAGGTTGACATAATTAAGTTCAGAAGTTGGGACCCCGAAGTAGGTTTTAGCTGTTAAGAGGAGGAGAGCAAGCATTTCCTTTGAAGGTAAGCATGGATTGCACTGACACAATAAATCTACCTGGCTGTGACGATTTACCTGTATAGAGGACCAAGGAGAGTCAGGCTGGTAAGACAGATGGGGAAAGGCCAAACTACTCAAAGATGTCTTTGATGTGAGTCTGAAATCAAGGAGTATGGACTCACTCTTGGAGATAAGGGCACTGTTGAAACATATTTCGCAAGAGGCATGATGTACTATAGTGTTATCGAGCAAATGGGTTCACTGCCCAGTATACACAGAAGCCAATAACTGGCACTGGCTTGAGAGAAAAGAAAGGCTTTATTGCAAAACTGGCCAGCACGTTTTGAGTTGGGCACAAATTTATCTCCAAAATTTGGGGTATGGGATAAATTTTACAGGATCGGAGGGCAAAGGGAAAGGACTCTGGAATGTTGGCTTGGCAAGGTGAGCCTGGAGGGCTTCAAATTTGACCACTTACGGTATGTTGAGGGAGACATGGTCCCCAGATCTTCTAGGCAAATGGACCCCTTGCTTCTGAGAGTCTTGGTCTTCTAGGTTCTGAGGGCAGTAATTGTTTTGGGTGTTGTTAGATGTAAAATCTTTTTCTATTGTGCATACTTGGGCTATATGAATGCAGTTTTTGGCTGTTATACCTAAAAGGTAACTTGAAATTTTATCAACAGAATAGGTCCAGTGTGGGCTGGTCCTGCAGCTGCAAATGGATA